CTTTCTGCCCAGGATCCAAACCAGGGTCCCATGTTGCATTTAGTTGCCATGGCTCCTCTGGCCGCGACCGTCTCTCAGCTTCAGGGGGACCGGCCCGGTCTCCAGCAGAAAGTCCCCAATGGCTGTGGTCTGTTGTTTTTCTCATGAAAGAATACAGCAGAGGCGAGGGCTGAACTCTGCCCATCATATCAGGGGTCCACGAGAGCCACACATCACTGGTGAGGTTGACGTTCCCCACTTGGCCAAGGTCATGTCTGCCATTGGTCTCCACTGAGGAGCACCTGTTTTCCCTTTCCTTACTCTATTCTTGGAGCAAGGCACAAGGCCTAGCCCCGCTTCAGTGGGAGAGGGTGTGATTAACCTCCACCTGCCGAAGGGGCACTATCTACATATATTGTATGGAATCGGTACAAAAGATTTTGCTCCTGAATCATTTCTTTACGTCAGCATGGACTGATGTGCATCTCCTTTATTCTCTGGGTTACAATCCAATACCGCCTTGTTTCCTTGCTCAAGTTGTCCCAGCTTTGGTCACTCGGAGCTGCTGTGTCCCCGAGACCTGCCCATCTTTTTGTTGTTTCACCACTTCCTTCCTCTCTGGGTTTACAAGATGCTTTAGGCTCCTCTTGTAATTTCTCTGCCCAGCCCTCCAATCAGCCTTCCCTCTAGGAGCCCTGGCTTACCTGGGTTATGTGCACTTTAGAAAATGCAACACAGGTACGTTGGTACGGGGATCATGTGGCATAGTAGCTTCCAAGCTTTTCTGATTGCCCAGCACTGGTCCCAGGACACAGTGACACCTAAGACACATGTCCCTCCCCACGTGACTCATCCTTCGTCCTCTGGAAACACCCATGCTTCCTATCTGTCTTCTGCGGTCATTACTGCTGGTCTCAACATGACTTCTGAGCCCACTGATGGGGGGTTCCCTCTACCCATCAGACAAGCCCTGACCTAGCCATTATGTCTGGGTCACACACTGTAACTAAGTACAGGGAATTTTTTGTGCAAAACTAGTGTCTACTAATCTTTTGTCTCCTCATTC